GCAAATGTTATAATTAGGGAGATTTGTAGGAAGATTAGTATTGAGATGTATAGTTTTTTTCGGGGGAAGGAGTTATTGTAAAGATGTTGTTGTGTTGCTAAAATTATTAGTGGCAGTAGTCAGGTTGTTAGGGCTAAAAGGGGTGATGTCAGTGGATCCGAGGAGAAAGTCAGTGATAAAGTGCATGGATTATTAGGTATATATAGAACCATAAGGGCTAGAGCACTAATCAATAGGCTGCAGGCTATTCTATTAATTCATATTATATGGCTTTTTGACAATCATATAGTTGGAATTATTATGATTGTTGGGAGGATAATTTTTAGCATTGGAGTAGGTTTAAGTTTTGTACGTAGTCTAGGCCATATAGGTTGGAGATTAGAATTAATAGGGCTCGGCCTACTGCAGCTTCGCATGCGGCAAATACTAGTAAAACAATAGGTAGTATATATGTTAATATTAGGTGTATATTTAAGGTTACAGTTGTTCTTACAATGAATAGTGATAATATTATGCCTTCTAAACATAGTAGGGATGATATTAGGTGGGATCGGTAAATTAATAGTCCTAGTAAAGATATGGAATACGCTAGTGCGGTATTAATATAGATGAAAGGCATTTTGATGTATATGGTTTACCATAATTTAATGAGTCGAAATCATTTGTTTTGTTTAAACTATACATCAATTCGATTCAGTCTAACCCCTTCTGGGTTCACTCGTAGGCTAGCCCTAGTGCTAGGGTAATACGTAGGGCAAGGGCTGTGTTGGTTATCAGTATTAGGTTATTTGTTTGGGTGGCCCATGGTAGGGGTAGGAGTAGGGCAATTTCTAGGTCAAATAGAAGAAATGTAATAGCTACTAGGAAGAATTTTATGGAAAAGGGTAGATGGGCGGAGGTTGTAGGATCAAACCCGCACTCATAGGGATTAGTTTTTCTGTATAAATATTTAATTTTTTTTTTTTTTTTTTTTTTTTTTTGAGACGGAGTTTCGCTCTTGTTACCCAGGCTGGAGTGCAATGGCGCGATCTCGGCTCACCGCAACCTCCGCCTCCCGGGTTTAGGCAATTCTCCTGCCCCAGCCTCCTGAGTCGCTGGGATTACAGGCACACGCCACCATGCCCAGCTTTCTGTATAAATATTTAATTGTGGTACTCAGAATGTAATAATAATTAGTAATAATTAGTTACTAGGGTTAGTGTTAAATTAATTATTCTCTCTCGGGTTTATCGAGGCTTATTAATTGGAAGTCAATGGTACTGCTTATACTAGAGAATAGGACCCTCATCAATAGATAGAGATATAGAGGAATAGTCATACAACATCTACGAAGTGTCAGTATCATGCGGCGGCTTCAAAGCCGAAGTGGTGGTTGGATGTAAAGTGATATAATTGTTGGCGAATATAGCATGCGGCGAGGAAGGTAGTTCCAATAATAACGTGTAGGCCATGGAAGCCTGTGGCTATAAAGAATGTGGAGCCGTAAATTCCGTCAGAAATAGTAAAGGAAGTTTCAGAGTATTCTGATATTTGAAGATAGGTAAAGTAAACTCCTAGTGCAATAGTTAAGGACAGTGCTTGGGTTGATTCTTCTCGGTCAGCTTCTATTAGGCTATGATGTGCTCAGGTAACTGTGACTCCTGATGCGAGTAGGACAGCTGTATTCAGAAGTGGCACTTCTATTGGATTGAGGGGAAAGATGCCTGTGGGAGGCCAGTGTCCCCCTGTTTGAGGGGTTGGGGCTAGGCTTGAGTGATAGAATGCCCAGAAGAATCCAGCGAAGAAGACTTCTTCTGAGATAATAAATAGGACTATTCCGTATCGAAGGCCTTTTTGGACGGGTACAGTGTGATGGCCTTGATATGTGCATTCTCGTACTACATCACGTCATCACTGAGACATTGTTATTGCACTGGCTAATAGACCTGCAGTAAGTAGGGGGGTGTAGTAGAAATGAAATCATATAATTAGGCCGGAGGTTAATAGAAAAGTTGATAGAGCTCCTGTTAGTGGTCAGGGGCTTGGGTTTACTATATGATAAGCGTGTGTTTGGTGTGTCATTATAGGTGGCGGGGTGGGTGATTACTATGCATTATTGTGCAGGTAGAGACTTACTAGGAGTGTGAAAACATAGGCTTGGATTAGGGCTATGCCTAGTTCTAGGGTAATTAATGGAATGATAACAATAACGGTGATTACGGAGGAAGAGAGGTAAATAGAAAGAAGGGTTAGTGTAGTGTCTCCGAGTAGGTGCATTAATAGGGGGCCTGCTGTGATGTTGGCTGTTGATCGTACAGCTAGTGCTATAGGTTGAATGAAAAGGCTAATTGTTTCAATAATAACAAGTATGGGGATGAGTGGAGTAGGTGTTCCTTAAGGTAAGAAATGGGCAAGGGAAGGCCGGGCGCGGTGGCTCAAGCCTGTAATCCCAGCACTTT